TGGGTGGGGTGGGGGTTACAGGTTAGTTTAATGGTCTAACAAGGCTTGAAGTGTAAATTCACACAGATTTTGAATTTGAATCTCACTGACCCCATAGAACTGAATTTAGCCGATGAAGGTGGCTTGGCTTGTAAATGACTTCTTGAAAACTTGCATTGCAACTATGAGTCTAAAAGACATGTGAATAGGATTAAAAAAAAAACTCTATTGGTGTTTATTGGAAGGAGGGAGAGAGACAGAGGTCTAAGGAGCATATTGCGCCATGTACACTTCTATGCGAGGGAGAAGAAATTATTGAAGAGATTAGAGTTTTTGAATTTACATTGAAGTTCAGTGGTTAGCCATTATATTAATTTAGTTAGGTTTGTTTTCGAAAAGAGTAACGAGTATGATCAAAGGTCTCATGATTCCACCAATAAGAGTCTATCATAGAGGTCTCTGAACGCTATCTTTTGCTCCCATCTCTTTTCTACCAGCAAAAAAAAAAAAAAAAAGAGGTCCTGAAACCATGTTGCTCATACTATTGCAAAAGCAGCCATCTCCAACTTTTTTTTTTTCAACGAACAAGAATATTTAAGTGAATTTAGATATATTTCGACTAATGTCCGCACCAATCCTACTATTCATGAGTTGGATAAAGATGCTCCCAAAAGAGGTGCAGAGCCATTATACTTTCTGATTGTAGTTTTTGTCACATTAGAACATTTTAAAAGGAATCAAGGAAACACAATATACCTACCACAGACTGCCTTTGTAAATTTTATACTCAAAAAGGATTTGTACTCAACAAGAAAATTTAGACCATCAATCGAGGAATGTTGTGTTATATTTAAATTATATTATTAATGATTCATATACTGTCAACGTGTTTGAATCAATAATCCTAACATAATTCATATACTGTGGGTGGAACACTGTAGCCTTTCCCTAATCTTAGTATCCCCTAATCTTTACCAGTTTCTATTCAGAATTTCAGATCACAAGCATTTGTATGCGCGTGAGAGCAAAGTTATCTGAAAGAAAAAAACAAAAGAAAAGAAAAATCAACACCATGATACCACTGTATCCCACCTTCTTGCTCCATTTTTCTTCCTCCTATAGTCCTACCTGCAAAACTTTCTCTTTAGTCAAAAGCTCATGGGGTCCCTCAACATCCACATCTTTAAAAAAATCACCTTTTTTAAACCTCATCCCTTTACTTCAACTCACTTAACTAATGCCCAAAAACCAAACAACAATCCAAAAGAGTATATAGTAATCCTTATAGTAGTAATCCAACTGTAAAGCAAACTAGCAACTTCCCTGAATAAAGAAACCCACCACCACCACCACCACCTCCGCCTAAGAAGAAACCCAGAAACCAAACTTAACCCACAGAAAACCCACAATGCCTTCAAGACAAGCCTTCCCTCCAAGCTCAAACCCAAGACCCAAAACCAGTGTGATTTTCCTCACCATCACCACTTTTGCCTCTGCAGTCATTCTCTGTGCCATTCTCTACTTTCTATACTACCTCTGGTACTCTCTAGTCCACCGCTCTCGCACCAGCCCATTTGACTCGGTTACACCACTGGTAAAACTCCAAAGATTCTCCTACAAAGAGCTCAAGTCAGCTACCCAAGGATTCAGTGAATCTAATTCCATCGGAAAAGGCGGGTCCGGAACAGTTTTCCGGGGAATTCTCAAGGATGGAAAATTGGTAGCTGTTAAGTTGTTGGATTCAACATCTTTACAAGCTGAAAGAGAGTTTCAGAATGAGTTACAGGTACTGGGTGTGTTGAGATCTCCTCTCATTGTTTCACTTTTCGGGTATGGTGTAGAGAAGAACAAAAGATTACTGGTGTATGAGTACATGCCGAACCGTAGCTTACAAGAATCTCTTTTTTCGGATTCAAATTTGGGTTTGAATTGGGGGAGAAGGTTTGAGATTATTCTTGATATTGCCAGAGCATTGGCATTTTTGCATTTGGAATGTGACCCACCAGTGATTCATGGGGATGTGAAGCCTAGTAATGTTTTGCTTGATTCAGAGTTCAGGGCAAAGCTTTCAGATTTTGGGTTGTCAAGGATGAAGATTGAGGGTGAATTTGGGGTTGATTTGTTCAGTCAAGATTTGGGTAAGAGTCAGGAGCTGTGGAAAAGCCAAGACCTTTCGGGGAATTTGGTGGCGATTGGTGGGGAGAGTGAAACCCCGGCGATTGGGAATCCGGTTGAGAGTGCTAATGAGGTAGATTTTGCTCTTGCTCTGCAAGCTTCGTGTTCTTCAAAAAATAGTAGATTTTGTAACAATGTGAGAGGTTTAAGCTTCAGTGCAATGAATTTTTATGGCAATATTGGGAATGAGTACGATTCCAATAGTAAAAATGCAAAGGGGAAAGGGGTTTCGATTCTTGAGAATGGTGGGGAGGATTGGAACAAGTTTGTTAATTATGATGATGAGCTCTCTAGTGTTGATCATAGTAAGGAGTTGAATTTGAATGCTGGTTTGTTGCCCGATGATACAATGGGAACAAAGCAGTGGGGAAAAGATTGGTGGTGGAAACAGGATGGGAGTGGTGAATTGTGCAGTAAAGATTATATAATGGAGTGGATTGGGAGCCAAATCTGCCCATCTGCAAATCCTGATTGGGATGAAGAAAAGAAGTGCTCTCATGAGAAAAAAATGACTGATACCTCTACTCGATTAGATACCTTTGAAGAAGTGAATGAAATGCATTTACAAGAACCTGGGATGGAGTATCATAATAAGAGGTTTGGAAAGGCAGAATCAAGGAGATGGAACATCCATAAAACGAAGCACAAGAAGATGCAAGAATGGTGGAAAGAAGAGCACCTTGATGAGCTAAGCAAGAAGAATAATAAGCTGAACAAGCTTGAAACTAAGTGTAAGAAGCGCTTAAGAATGCCACATTTTGATTTGGGTAAACGATTTCAGTTCAGGACATGGAGAAAATCCAGGCAACTGAATGTAAATAAGGGTGATCCCAATATGGAGTTCAGTTTTAGGAGGGGTTGGAAGAAAAAGAATGCCCATTCTGTTGGGAGTGATATGTGGAGTGGAGATCTTTTTAGTCGGGAGTTAAGCAGCACAACAAGCATGAGAGGGACTCTGTGCTATGTTGCACCAGAATATGGTGGATGTGGGTACTTGATGGAGAAGGCTGACATTTACAGCCTAGGAGTTCTGATCCTTGTGATTGTGTCCGGTAGAAGGCCATTACATGTTCTTTCGTCGCCCATGAAGCTTGAGAAAGCAAACTTGATAAGCTGGTGTCGACAATTGGCTCACGCTGGTAATCTATTAGAACTTGTAGATGAGAGAATGAAAGATGAGTACAATAAGGACCAGGCAAGCTTGTGTATTAACCTGGCGCTTGCTTGCTTACAGAAAATGCCTGAGTTGCGACCAGACATAGAGGATATTGTTAAGGTTTTGAAAGGGGAGATGGATCTTCCATCAATACCATTTGAGTTTTCTCCATCTCCACCTTCCAAATTATTGAGCAGGTCAAGGAGAAAACAAAAGATGAATGCTGAATAGTGAATTAGATTTAGAATATCCACCTGATCTTACTTCTCTTTTTCGTGTCCAGAAGGGAGGAACAGATGCTGTTTCTAAAAAGGCTTGTTTCTTGGAGAAACGGTGTGTAGTGAGAATTATGATGTTGTAATGTAAATGAAATGAATGCTTTCTTTCCAAGATGTTCATTTTCTGCTCTTTGTTTTGCACTCCTACTTCATTTTTAGTTATTGTTTTCGTTTTTCGTTGGTTAGCATTTATCTAAGGAATTGAACATGAGGTTAGACTAGCGGAAAGTTGGGATCGATTGTAATTAGTGGCTGTTGTAATGTATGAGATCCCATGTTATCGTTTCCCAGGACTTTTCCCCCAATCATAACTGATTATATAATAGCCTTTTATGTATGCAATTTTTCTTCAATATGTTGAAAAATAGGCTTCTACTGTTCAAGTTTCAATATCAACTTCTATCTTATGCCATCAGAGCAAAAAACTTAATCTTGATTATGGTTTAACAGTCAGCAAAGTTGAATAGTTTAGCTCTCCAGCTTGGTTGAGGAACTTTAAGCCGAAAGTCTTTTCATAAACAGAGCATGGAACTCTTTTATACTGTAAATTATACTACAAAACATAAATGGTTGAGGATCTTTGAGAGGATGTAGCCACAAGCAGTTGGAATATATGATCAAAAGGTGCATTTCTCAACCTTGTGGTATATTGAGGTCTCCTCTTTTGCAGAACTCACCAACTGCAATCCTTTGTTGAAGAGGGTCCTGCAGGAAATAGCAAAGGGGCATCAGTAAAAGTAATAGAGAGAACCCCCCCCCCCCAAAAAAAAAAAAAATAAATAAATAAAAATAAAAAATAAAACATCGGTTAGCAGAATCTTTATCCTTCTACACTGTTTTTTTATATTTCTACGATACATTCTAGTTTTTCGTGGCATATTATTGTCAGTAGGTCCACTTCATAATAAAACCAGTAGTACCTAAGGCAGGTGTGGTTGTCTGGTATTTAACTTTCCTATATTTATTTTTTTGAAGTTCTCAAATCCCCCCAAGATCCTATTTTTTGTCTAGTATTTAACTAACTTACATCTGATAGCTAGCTTTGTTGTTCTGAAATGAGAACTGGTTTTTTGTTGAATCATCAATCCCGTTCGGACACGCGAACTTGTCACGTGTCTGAAATTCATACATGAAATGAAAAGCGGCCCTTGATACTTCCAAACTTGAAAAAAATATTCACATCATTGGAATAAACTTGAGGCATAGGCAACCTTGCTAGTCACTTGTGCTTCTGACTTTTTTGTCATAATTTTGCTACAATTATGTCATTGGTTTTACTTTAATTATATGGGGTGTGTGAATTTCAAATCTGAAGGAGGGATGTACAACACTATCTATCTTCCTACTGTGTAAACTGTCAATGGGTTTTAAATATTCTTTAATATTTTTGACAAATATTATCAGTTTCACCTGCTAATCTGAATAAAAAACTTTCATCTCTCAAGCAATTGTATTAGTCATTTTACATGATATCTTTCCACTAGTTTTTTATTAGATATAGTTGGTTAAACATATATTACATTCTCATTTTTTAATCTATTCTTGTCCTTAGATTAAAAATAAAACGGCAAGCTTTTCAGACATACATTGTATTTATGGAAAGATCTGGAAGATTATAAATAAATTATCCCACATGATCATTGACCAAGGATGTTATACTTGCTAAGATATTCTGATTGTAGAGTTCTTTTCTTTATTTAGGGCTCAATACTCTATCAAGAAGACTTCTTTGATTGTGACAAGTTAGTTAACACTTAACTATTCTCCTGACACCCCAATCATCCTTTGCAGTTCTAACAACCTCTGAGTCTCTGACTAGTAAAACCTTCACAAGCTAATTATATGATGAATTGGAAACATAAACTATAATTGTTAAATCAGAACAATAAATAGTTTGAAATAGATTTAATAATGTAGCCAATCTCAAATGATTAAGATAAAGTTTTGTTAAATTTGGTAGTTGTAGTATTATTGAAAACCTGCTTAATGTGACTATAACAAACACAAAGAATTTCTTTCCTTTCCTCTCAAATTGTCTGTGTAGGCATCTGGTAGGGAAATACATGATATTTTTTTTGGTTCAACGGTCAGGGATGTTCGGATCAATTTACGCGCACTTCAACTAATTTTCTTTTCAGTTCGGTCAAATATAAGTCATCCACACCAAGACTAGATATTCGTAAGAGATAAATCCCTCGTGACTTGGTCTCAAAGGGTTGTCAAGATAGAAATAAAGGATATACTTTCAAACTTAGTGCACTTATTTCTTGATCTTAACAGAATTGATAGGGATCCCATACAACCCCCCCCCCCCCCCCCCCCCCCCC